AGCCAATATATTTGATATTCTCTGTTACTACCTTTCCACTAATGATTCGTTTTTCTCTGTCTTTGGGAGATTCGATCCACAGAGTCTGATCCACTGTTTTCTCTTTTACAGTTGAGCTGAACTGCCGCGAAGTCATTTGCGGTCCTCCTAATAACAGCTCAGTATTCAGTCACTAAATACAAGGTACAGTCTGCCTTTTAGCTTTGCCAATCACCTTACCTTTTAAACGCATCGCTTCAGGTGGAAGCGTCATCCAATCTTCTCGCTTAACACTGCTACTTTTGCAAGTCGGCATATCCGCTGGATCGTCTTGATTAGATGTGGTTGCTGAACCATGTCCAAGTCTTGCCTCGATTTCTTTCAATCGCTCGGTTCGTTCATGCTCTTCCAAGTCCTAGCTCATTTGAATTGTGGTATAGTGAATAAACAAGACAATTGATTTATATCAGTAACCACAATACTTGCATAGCAGGTTGTTGTCAGCAAAGAATAGGCAACTGTACTTTGTCAGACAGGTCAAGTGGCCGAGGTCCAACATCATCATCGCTATCATCCCTTTTATAGACGGACAAAGTCGCTCCTGGTGGTGGCATTGTTGGTCCCATTACTCTCTTTGAAGGTAGTGCTGGACTAGTTTGTGGTTGGGCTCTGGATGATTTGAACTCGGGTGGGAGCACAGGTCCAAATGCATCATTATCAGATTCAGAGTCCGATTGGCTCTTGCTGGATAGTGATGAGGGCTTCTTAAACCCAGGAGGCATCTGAGGACCATACATTGCAGCTATACTGGAGTGCAACGTGGAATAAACCTGGTAAATAATAGTTTACAGTCGTATTTACGCAATGGATTACTTTATCCTGCAGTCTTTATTTCGCTTTGTAATAAATAATGATTAAACACTGTTAAAGACTGACTTGAATAGACATTTTCAATTCTTCAAAACACAAAATGAAACTATAATTTTGATCCGAGATTGTCATCTTTTGGCAGTCATGCATTGTATGATCACCAAGTTTGAAACTGGATATTGAGTTTGACTGTTCTGCTGTTTCCAATCCAATCCAAGTCTTGCAAACTCATTTGTTGTATTCTAAAATATCATATTCGCGCTTGAATTCAAGAAACTAATCTTGGGAATGCAACCATGCATGCCAATCATCAAGAAACCAGTAGATTTGATGGAAACATTATGCAAGACTAGCAGTTTATTAAAACCCATTATTTGATGTGTTACATGTAAATATGGCTGAAAAGCTGCAAGACAATCGAGTATATCCAATTTAACTCGAATTACAACTATTCAACCCAGTTTTATTAGATTCAACTTTATTCTTCTATTGCATCAATACTGTTGATTATCTGATGGCCAAATGCACCTGAAAAAGATCGCACCTCTTTTCCAATAGCTTGCATAAACGCCATTCTAACTCGCGGAGTTCTGAATGGTTTTCCATCCACGTCTGCCAACTCGATCCGGTAAAACTCAGTTGGCTCTATTATGGTTCTTAAAATAAATACAGTTCGGTTGCCCAGATTGATGTAAAAACACGCTTTATCCAGTGTTTGTGTTTGCAATGACGCAGTAAACATTTTGCTCAAAAGCGTTGCAGTTAGACTCAATCGTTTGCTGCTATGGAATGATAAAGACTCTGGCTGGTATAGATCTGCAGTAATGTGACCATCAAAGTGCCGCTGTGCATAGTCGATAAACGATACACCTCTTGTAGCAGGTTGATCTCGTTTTGAAAAGTACTCGGCCATGCTTTCGTAAATGTTGGCAATAGCATTAGCAATATGAGGCCAGCAAGCGGGCGTCTGATCCAGTTGGTCAATGCCCAAAACTAATGCTTGATATACCATGAGTACTTCAATCAAGGACATGGATTGCACGGTAACAGTATCTGCCGATTGAATCGAGATGCCTTCCAATGCATTGATCTCGTAGTGGGTTTTATCCACCATTGTAACTCTCAGCATTGCAAGTGGTTCTATTTTTATGTCAGAAAATTTAATTGAAATGGTGACCATGTTAGCGACCTTTTATCACTGCTGAACAGAAATAAAATGCCACATACCAATTGCAAGGTTGTTGATGGGCCGATTGACGATAAACAGTGCATGATTTGAATCGTGATCTGTCCAACAGTCTCTACAAAAGCTACCCCAGGAAGGGCATTCCATGCATTGGTATCTAATTCCTGTAATGAGCCATGCACAAAGTTCGCATCGATATCCCCAGTGCGTTTTATTCCATCGATGGTTTTCTAGATTTAATATTGCCAGATCATTCAAATGTTGGAATTTATACTTGTATAATAATTACAATGCATAGAATTTAACTCGAGGTTTTAAAAAAGTACTACCTGGTATAACATGATACTTGTACAAGTTTGCCATTGATTTGGCTCTATCTTGTCTCATTCGAAGCTTTGACCACGTCATGGAGCTTATATATGGCACCAAATATACAGCTTCGGGTAGTTGAGCAGTTGCCGCCTGTTTTCGTCCGCAGTTGTCGCACAAATATCGAACCATGGACGGACCTCTATGAACATGAATAGTCAAATGGATGGTAAGCCTGCAGTTATCGCATTTGAGAGCGGGCAAGTCAGCAATAGAACCTCGAAAAAGACGACAGACTCCGTGAATCTGACAATCACAGACTCCAATCTCTGCCCGTCCTTTTAATGCAACTGGATGACCTCCATGGCAAGCATCTATACAAGACTAGAAGGTGTATGCAGTGAGCATTGAATTGTTAGCGATCACTCATTTAATTGGCATTGCTGGAATTTAGTTGAGTTGTCTAGAAATGTCGATGTATTTCTTCCATACAACTTTGGCGTTGGTATACATTATACTGGACATGAATTAAGAATACTCGCTAGTTTGAGTATTACATATGCATTCATGTAAAACGAAATACCAAAAATGTTGAAATGCATAATAAACTGCTAGTCTTGCATAATGTTTCCATCAAATCTGCTGGTTTCTTGATGATTAGCATGCATGGTTGCATTTCCAAGATTAGTTTCTTGGATTCAAGCGCGAATATGATATTTTAGAATACAACAAATGAGTTTGCAAGACTTGAATTGGATTGGATTGGAAACAGCAGAACAGTCAAACTCAATATCCAGTTTCAAACTTGGTGATCATACAATGCATGACTGCCAAAAAAGAGAAAGGGTAGGTTCAAAAAATATCATTTTCAAAACTACAGTTTGTATTATGATGGACATTGTGTTTTGAAGAGTCGAGAATGTCTATTCAAGTCAGTCTTTAACAGTGTTTAACCATTATTTATTCCAAAGCGAAATAAAGACTGCAGGATAAAGTAATCCATTGCGTGAATACGACTGAAATAGTAATTCATAAATACTAGTCGACATGAACCTTTAAAAATTTCCAATGCAGGCGGATAATAAAACGATTGCTCACCAAACAGAACCGTCCATCCTCGCATGTGTTTTGACCACAACGGTAAAGAGTCTGTTCTGTGGGATTGAGGCCGTAGGTGAGGTTAGAGCATTTTGCCATGGATAGCAGATGTGGCATTAGATGGTAAAGGCTGGAAAAGTGGCGCTGACTATACAGGTTTCTTAGGTTGAATACCCGTAAAAGCAAGATGTTTGCTAGTATTGATAATAGATTGAATATTTAATGGCCATTCACACCAGTTCAGTCCAGTCCAGTCTTGACTTTGAATATAATGCATTGAACGAATGAGATTTCAAACTCGATAAATTAGCTGCTGCGAGTTCGTCATCCACACCAACAATTTGAAATTTATTGTCTGTCCGCATCTACACTTAATCTAATATTCAGACTTTACCTCTGTAGAATACTAGTAGAATTTTAAGTGACCGGTTGTCATTTCCAGAGTACTGGATTATTTTGAATGTACGACACATCCCGTAGTCGTGATGAGCGACTAAGAGAATTGGAAAGAGAGCGTCTGCTTTATGCTCAAAGTCGTCCGCCTAATCACAATAGCATACCATTGAATGGGCAAACAGCTACTTCGTTTGTCCATAAAAACTCTTTGGGGAATCCAGCTCAACCATATACTGCATACTCCCCTTACCCGCACACGTCACCACTTCCTCAGCAACAGTTCTGTCAACATTTTACATGCGGTGCAGTGTGTGGTCATCCAATGTCGCCAAATCAGACCATGCATCAAGATCCTCGAACCTTATCTCCATCACAAAAATATGCTCCTTATACCTCGCAGCAGAGTCAGGACACTCATCCAACTCCGTCTACTGGATGTATCGCTCATGCACCTGCAGGCTACTCTTATGGAGCTTCAGCACACGAAGATGCATATTACTCTCAGCAAGACGACCAAGATGGCTCAGATAATAGTAACAATGTCTGTTTTGCAGCAGATGAGGGTGGTCTTCGAGGAAAAATTAGATTAACAAAAGATGGAAAACACTCATTTGTAGACTTGGATAACAGTGGTGGAGCATCACTATCAACTCAGCATACAGGATTAGGCTCTAATGCCAACTCATTGTCCAAATCCCTCATTGAACTAGCGCGACTTGAAAAGTCACGGCTCAAACAGGAACGACTGGCCAGAGAGCACGAGGCAAACTATACTCGTAGCCTATCCGAAAAACGATCTTCTCCTACTCACTCGGATGCATTTTCAAAGCTATATGCAAAGGATCAAAAGAGCCGTGCCAAGGTATGTTTAGGCTGGAGTATGCATATTTGCATAATTTGTATTTCTACAAAATTTAAATCTTTCAGTCTATATATCCAACTTAATCTGAGAAAATTCAAACAATGATGGTTTTATTTGCACTCTAGTATCTTGTAACAGACAAGGCACTATTGGAAGAGGAGCGAGCACGCAACACACATTTAGAAGAAGCGTACTCTAAACTTCTCAGCCAGGTGCAACAGCTTCAACAGGCCCATCTTCAAGACATACGCACTACAGAATCTCGTTTTCACACATCTACCAACACGCTTCAAAAAGCGCTTGTTCTCAAATCCGAAGAAACCATCACTCTGTCCAATCAACTGGCCGATGTGCAAACACGATATGAGAGGGATTTGCGCGAATGGAATAAAGAAAAACCAGCATTAATACTCAAGATAGATGTTACAGAAAAGGCTTGGAAAGAAGCAGACTCTACTCTGCAAGATACTCAAAAAAGGATTGGAGAACTAAATCGGCTAAAAAAGGATTTATCTGAGCGAGTTGCAACCCGTGAGCAGGAACTGATTAAATATGCCAAAGCTTTACGTGATCGTGAGGGCGATTGGATGAAAGAGAAAGAGATGCGAATGAAAATAGAAGTTAAAGCACTCAAGCTAGAAGAAACTCTTGCTGATCGGAACGCAGATGCCAAAAGAGTCAATGAACTATTGGAAAAAAAACAGGCGGAAATTGAAGAATTGTCCAAGATAAGAATGCTATTGAGTGAGGCTAAACGCGAGATTGAGGACTTGTCTCGTAGGGAAAAGACACACTTGGCAGAGATTGATCAAATCACTACTCGCGAAAGAAGACTATTTGCTGAGGTTGAAGATTTAAATTCACTACAACGCAAGAACACTGCAGAGATTTCTCGTCTGAATGCACGTCAGGCAACGCTATTGCAAGATTTGGAGACGACGAGAATCACAGAATCTAAACAGAGACAGGAGCTTGAAGACATGACACAAAAAAATAATCAGCAGGCTCAAGATTTGATCGATCTGGAGAAACAAGCGCGACAATTTCAAAGCGACGGATCTCGCCTACTTCATGATGTGTCTGACTTGCAAGCTGCTTTAAAGGAGGCTCACACTCACAATCAGGTGTTTGAAAAAGAACTACAACAGCAACGTATGGTTTGCGAGTCTCTAAAAGGAGAAAAGGATGCGTTACTTGCTCAAACAGAACGATTGGAACATGATCGTGAAATCAATCTGCGCGATCTTGATGACTTGAACTCTCAGGTCAACCAACTTTCTTGTCGTTTGGATGCAGAGCTACAAGCCAAGGCTGATATTCGTCAACAAAACAAGGACAAGTTGGTGAATGTGTCTCAAAAGATATCCGATTTGCAAAATACGCTATCTGAAACCCAACTGCAGCTTGAAGATTTGCGCGAAAACGAATCTGTGCTACGTCAGACTGTTCGTCAACGAGAAGAAACAATTCGTAATCAAAACCAAACTATTGTGGATACCCAAAGCAAGCTAGCCGATATTCAAAATCAAGTAGCCAAGGACAATCAAGAGTTTGATAGCTACAAGGCCAAAAAGCGGGATGAAATTTTGAGTATTCAAGAAAAGTTTGCTGGTGCAAAAGGTGCAATGGAACAAGAGATAAATGGGTTGCGTGCACAGTTGCAACAAAAGTTGATTCAACTATCTTCAGCGTCAGAGGAAGTGTCCAAGCATAAAGTAGAACTGTCTGAACTGAGTGCAGATCGATTCAGTTTGGAAACACGAATATCAGAGTTGCTTGCAAGTGAAGCTAGCTATCAACGCCAAATTACCAGTTTGCAACTCACAATCAACCAAAAGGGCCAAGAAGCTGCACGTATGGTGGCCAAGCATCAAGGTCTTGTAGACCAGATGCGCCGACTGGAGGATGAAATGCACAACTATCGGGGTAACACTGCTGCAACGAATGCACGCGATGGCGAAATCTCTCGTTTGCAAAATAACATGGATGAGATATCTCGCAAATTAAAATCACAGGTGGATTTGTTGCTTGATCGCGATTTTGATGGACTCAAGAGTAGCGCTGGACTTGGTGGTGATCAATATGGTGGGACATCTTCTGGTGGACGAACGACTCGTGCGTATGACTCCAATCCTACTGGAAACATTAATGTGAATATTGGTGCTGGAGGAAATAATAGTAGCCCACATAGTCGCACACAAAGCCATACTAATCCTGATCGTAATGTCAGCTTTTCTCCAATCTCTGGCGCACGATCTTATATTTCTTCTACAAATAACACTGGGCTCGGCCGTAGCCAGAGCAATGCTTTATCTGGACCCTCTTCTGGGGTTCCTCGGACAATTGATCGAGAATCTAGTCGTAAAATTGTTGGCATTGATGAGCTGGATGACTATGATCGCCCATCAAGTGCAACTATTGGTGGTGGCTCATTTAAACTAAATAATTTGAGTCGTACAGTATCTCCTAGCGGCAACAAAAGTATGAATTAAACCAAGAAATAAACCTTAATTTAGAGTTTTTATCCTGAATTATATCAACTATAATGCCAACCTTATCCTATTCATATAAAATAGAACACTACATACAAGTGTCAAAATGTATGAATCTGGTTTCAAACTTGGTCATTATAAATGCATGACTACCAAAAAGAAGAGTCTCGGTTTAAAAATATAATTTGATTTTTGTATGAACGTTGTGTTTATCGAGTTGATAGTGTCTGCTCGAGTCAATTTGTAGTAGGAAAGCACAACAATTGTTTATTCCAAAGCAAGACAGATACACAAGTGTTGCGTTTTACGTGAATATGGCTGCAAGTAGATTGTTTTTTAAACTGTATCTTGGGGTTTAAAAGATATACATATTGTCGTGATGGTTTATAGTATAGATTCGAGTTTGCAAAATAAAACAAATCTGTGCATTGAGGATTTATTTGTCTCGGAAACAAGGTTACTTTTTTTTGGCAATCTGACCAGCCTTGAAATAAATGATATCACCGTCCTGAACAACATATTCTCGGCCTTTTTGGATGTATTTTCCAGCACCCTTGACAGCAGCTTCTGATCCAAGTTCCTTGAGATCGTTAAATGACATGACTTCAGCCATAATAAATGCTTTTTCAAAATCGGTATGAATGGTACCAGCAGCTTGCGGGGCTTTGGTGTTTTTGCGGATTGTCCAAGCGCGTACCTCATCGGAGCCTCCAGTAAAAAAGTATACCAACTGCAGAGTATTGTATCCAGTCACAATGATTTTGGGGAGGACAGATATGACTGGCTGCGAAATTTCGTGCTGAGTGGCAACAGCAGCAAGGTACTCGGTCTTTTCTTCAGGAGTTTCAAGCTGGGTGAGCATATTTTCAAACATACCAGAATAAGGAATCAGCACATCGCCAGGATGGTTTGCATCAATCCATGCCTTGATCTTGGGAAGCCACTTGTTTTTCTTGCGGGCATAGTCACGCTCGGAAAGATTGACCTACAATCACACAATTGGCACTTTTTTAAAAGTCACGATGCGCATATATACAATTAAATTTACAACTTACAAGATACACGACAGGTTTAGCAGTAATCAGTTGCAAAGTGTTGATAAACTCAATTTCCTTGCCGTTCCATTCACCATCACGGGCGTCTTTTTTCTCGGTTACAACCCAGTTACAGACTTTGCTAAGCATATCAAATTCTTCCTTTTTAGCCTTGTCTGCAGCATTACCTCCACGACCAAGTCGCTCAACACTGCGTCTATTGGCTTCAACCTAGAGTGAAGTCAATTCAGCAAAACCAGTCAACCCACAAATCCAATTGCCCAACAAAAGTTTTGAGTGCACCCAATTCGAATACACTTACCATCTTGGTCAAAAATTCCTCGTCCTTTAGACGCAACTCTTCATGAATGATTTCCAGATCACGGACAGGGTCGATCTCGCCCTCAACGTGAACAATTTCCGAGTCATCAAATGCACGACATAGATGGAATATGCCATCGACTGCCTTGATATGAGACAAAAAGGCATTTCCCAGACCTTGACCCTCTGCAGCACCCTTGACAAGACCGGCAATATCAATCACAGTAAGGTAAGCAGGAATTTTAGAGGCAGGCTTGTAAAAGTCACAGAGCCAGTCAAACCGAGTATCAGGAACAGCCACACGGGCTTCAGCCGGATCGATGGTGCAGAAAGGAAAGTTCTAGATGTTTGTAATGTGCAAATGAATAAAGCAAAGGTTGATATTGGATTAGGAAACAAGCAGACATGAGACCAATGACAGTAGAATGTACTCGAGAATGATATGAAACCAAAGATAATCCACTCATAAAGCCAAGACTTACTTCGGATGGCACAGAGCTGTTGGTCAGTGAATTGAAAAAGGAAGACTTTCCAACATTAGGCAAGCCAACAATGCCCATCTTGAGATTGTTGGAAGGTCTTCCGAGCAACGGACGCTCAGTAACTTGGATTTTTTTTGGGGGCATTTTGGACAAAGGCTTGTCGCTATTCAAGAGAAGAGAGGCTGTAGAAAAGGCAGGAGTGTGTACGGTTAGTCAAAAGATCGATCGAATAGCCGTTGTAGATTGACGCAGCAAGTGATGAGCAACTGTCAGCATCAACAGATCGATTGTCAATAATCGACTTGTTTTTTAAAAGTGAAGGAAACTCGACATCAGCATCAGATATGATCTTGACTGCATTTCTGAATAGCTTTTCAGTCATATTTACATGTAACACATCAAATAATGGGTTTTAATAAACTGCTAGTCTTGCATAATGTTTCCATCAAATCTACTGGTTTCTTGATGATTAGCATGCATGGTTGCATTCCCAAGATTAGTTTCTTGAATTCAAGCGCGAATATGATATTTTAGAATACAACAAATGAGTTTGCAAGACTTGGATTGGATTGGAAACAGCAGAACAGTCAAACTCAATATCCAGTTTCAAACTTGGTGATCATACAATGCATGACTGCCAAAAGATGACAATCTCGGATCAAAATTATAGTTTCATTTTGTATTTTGAAGAATTGAAAATGTCTATTCAAGTCAGTCTTTAACAGTGTTTAACCATTATTTATTCCAAAGCGAAATAAAGACTGCAGGATAAAGTAATCCATTGCGTAAATACGACTGTAAATGGAATTTCTTGCTTAAAGTTGTATGATCTAGACAGGTGAATCAGGACTTTTTATCCATTTATTAATACAAATTATTTGCATTATTTCGAATGTTGAAACAGTTTCTCATTGTTTAATTGGAGCAGATCGTTTGCTATTAGAATATATTTCAAAATCAATTGTAAACAAGCGTTTATAACCACTTTCCAGTAGCACTATAGTCTGTTTATTCAAATATATCTGATTGTTTCAAGAATAAAATTACATGTCTATATATGTATTAATGGTATTTGATCTATATGGATTTGCATTGTGGTGGAGATTGATTTGTTTTGGGATTGTATGTAGCATCAGACAAAATAAAGCAATAAAAGTGTTGCTAATTCAAATCCTGGATTTCTCAAGATCCACCATCTGATTAAAAACTCGCATATATTGATGTCTTTTGCATTATCAAACACACCAAGTTAGAATTACAATCCCATTCTATTAGATTGGGTTCAAGACTCGATAAACTGTTGAGGCGATATCCAAACCAAATTACTGCCATGAGCGGCCATATCAAGTGGCACGTATATTTCTCATCAGTATGATAACTTGACATCATTTCTATATGCTTAGAAGAGTCAAAGTACCCTTCTGTCAGGTTCCATTAGAACTGATTACAAGTAAAATGACGTGGTTATTGCTATTACATATTTTCATTGACTTTTATATGAAAAAGCATGCTTAGGAAAGCAAATAGCCGATTGGTCAAGTGGTTGATTGTACCACTATCCTAGCTAAATCTCGAATAGCAACATGACATTGCAGATTTTTGGTGGGGGTACTTTGCGGTGGGTTAGTTTGTGGAAATATAACAAGTGCCGAACCACATGAGCCGCCCTAACATGTGCTATTGCAATTAGTGGCGTAGATTGCAGCCGTCGACAAATTAGTATAAATATCGACGAGATCTAACCCTAGTTCTTTCGTTATCTACTACTTCAAAGTTGAACCGTCTCTAGCTTCTAGTGCATTTCTTTTATTATTACTATTGTATACTCTTAAAATAGGAATCATGTTTATTGCTGCTGCTATTGTATTTGGTCTTGCTACTTCTGCTTTCGCGATTCCGTCAACTCCGATTATATCGCTGCCTGCCTTTTATTCGCCCCAAACCGTGGCCAAGTTTACCTCGACTATTCCCAATGGTCTGGCTACTTCCAGTTTGACCACTCTTAAAAATATTGCCAGCGACCACCTTCACAAGTCTCTTGCTCTTGGTTCAGGAGTGACTATTGTTCCATCTGCTTCGTAAGTTGATTAAAATTTATTAAATCAATTGGTACATCTACAATTCAACATTTTATATATTTTATCTAAATAGGTTCCAAGACAACCATAGCGGTGTGTACCATAATTATGTTACCCAGGCAGTTAATGGTGTTGTGATTGCCAATTCAGTTGCTTCGGTTTCTACTGATAAAAGCGGAAATATCATCTCCCAAACAAGTTCATGGGTAAATGTCCAGTCTGAGCCCAATCTCGGCAGGTTTTCGAGTTTAAAGACAATCTCTCCAGTCGATGCTCTGGTTGCTCTTGCTGCTTCATTAGGCATCCAAATCGACGGGAAAACGCTTACGACATCGCCTGATCCAAATTTCCCTGAATCACTGGTGATTCATGGTGCACAAAGTATTACCAATCAAACAATTACTGTTAGTGACAAATTGTACAAAACTGCCTCGAGTCTGCGTCCTGTTTGGGAGTGCAGTTTACCATTGAGCGTGTCGTGGATTTCTGCTTTTGTCGACAAGGAAACCGGCAAGGTTCTCGGGGCTTCTGATTGGTCGTCATCTGCTGTTCGAACTGAAGATGGCCGTATTATTCCTCAAGGTTTGCCTAATGATACTCACACTAGTTTGACTCGCAGGTCTTTAGTTGTTATCGACAAAAGACAACGTCGCATTCCTACTCGTAGACCTCGTCGAACCAGGACTACTACAGCTCGCAAAAATCGTGCTCAGCAAACTACTTCATCACCCAACCCTACTGCTGGTCCTGACACTCCATCGCCTAACCCTCCACCCACCGGAAATATTCCAC